TTGTTTTAAGGCTGCAGTTTAGGTTTTGACATGGAGGGAAAATAGATGGTGGGAAAGTAAGACCAGTTCTGCAGAGCTGCAAGTAACCCTTGAACTGAGATGGGTGTATGATACGAGAACTCCCAGAACAACTAAGCAAGCCTCCCCTCTTCTCTATTTTCTCTAGTAAAGCTGTGAAATTAGTCAGGTTCTCTTGAGTGAACCAGCTAATACTTGTCTTTGACTAAAGAGCATTAGAGTTCAACATCTGTGAAAATCTTAAGAATTATATATCCAGTGGAGTTTTGAACTATCGAGTACAAGACATGGGTGTTTTCTGTTTCACTGGGACTTAGGTACACGTAGGTTACAAACCCACCAGGACACCCAGCTCTGCAGGAAAGCTACAAAAACCTGGGCTCAGACAGTTGGTGTCCAGATTAATTTCTCAAGCCGCCTTTTGCCAGGAGGGTCAGCTGGTGAAAGTTAATTAATACAACCCACTTCCTTGTGCTCTGGCTTAAGTGACCAGAGAGATCCATCAACCCCAAAGGTAACATGCAGCAGCTGGGGCAGTGCTGGAGGAGAGAGTGCTGACATCTGCTCGTGGCTTTTCAGGTGGCCATCATCAGTGGCACCCTGCTCTCCCTTCTCCTTCCCTCCACCTTAAGATGAGGGCGGTTTTTTGCTTTTTTTGTATTTTAGTCACATGGAATATGTGATAATTCCTTTAATAGTCAAGCAACAGCTCAAATTCCAGGTGCTGCTTTATGTGCCACTTGACTGTGATGGGTAAGTGCTGGGATGACCGACTGATGCATGGCAATGCAATCCTTTAGACAGTTTGTGGGCTTGGGTAGGCTTTTTTCGTCCTCCATAGGGCTTGTAAGACTGGGTTTATTGGTTCAAGAGTTCAATCCATCTACTTCTAATTCTGAAGTCACGATCTGACACGAAATGGCATAATTAAAAGCCCCAGTCTAGCTAGGAAGATGGGGATTTCAAGGTGACTCCATGGGATTTCAGCTGTAACGTCTAATCCATAAAACTTGCACTGTATATCACAATTCCTGGTGTGTATGTGTACTGATGTACGCGTTCCTTTCATTCTGTGTTTTCATTGTACTGGGCCAGCACTTGACTCCCTCCCCACTCCACGGCTTACGTAGGACAGTAGTTACCTTCACTTGACAGGCAAGTGAACAGGTAGAACAACTAGCCACAGGCACAGCTGTGGGCTAGCAGGACTGAGAGAACTTGTACCTCCTAGTTGCTAATCTAGTACCTACCAGCTGAGCCGGGCTGCTTCCTGCAGGCTTTGGACTCTGGTGTTTCCTTAGGGCAGAGCAGCCGTGGAGGGGCAAGGCTGGTTTCCCAAGAAGGCAGCTCAAACTCCCTGCATGTTTTCTTTAAATTGCAGTTGGTGTCTTGTGATTGGGCAGAATCAAATGCACAGCTGGGACAGGCAAAGCCAAGGAGGCAGAACATCTTTTTAAGTTCCTTCGCATTGTTAGTGTATCAGATGAAGAAATGGTGCAGTCTTTCATTAAAGGCATTATGGGATTTCAGCTGTAACGTCTAATCCATAAAACTTGCACTGTATATCACAATTCCTGGTGTGTATGTGTACTGATGTACGCGTTCCTTTCATTCTGTGTTTTCATTGTACTGGGCCAAACTATAGCACTTGACTCCCTCCCCACTCCACGGCTCACGTAGGACAGTAGTTACCTTCACTTGACAGGCAAGTGAACAGGTAGAACAACTAGCCACAGGCACAGCTGTGGGCTAGCAGGACTGAGAGAACTTGTACCTCCTAGTTGCTAATCTAGTACCTACCAGCTGAGCCGGGCTGCTTCCTGCAGGCTTTGGACTCTGGTGTTTCCTTAGGGCAGAGCAGCCGTGGAGGGGCAAGGCTGGTTTCCCAAGAAGGCAGCTCAAACTCCCTGCATGTTTTCTTTAAATTGCAGTTGGTGTCTTGTGATTGGGCAGAATCAAATGCACAGCTGGGACAGGCAAAGCCAAGGAGGCAGAACATCTTTTTAAGTTCCTTCGCATTGTTAGTGTATCAGATGAAGAAATGGTGCAGTCTTTCATTAAAGGCATTAATGTATTCATCTGAGAGAGAAAATTTGAAGTACTAAATGACTGTCCAGGAAACAGGAACAGTCAACTTGTGTGCGAGGACTCTGAGATCAAAGAGAAGGCCCATTTGACCACTGAGGCTCATCCTCCTACTGTATGGCCCTGCCCCTTCGGCTCCACAAAGGCATCTAAGTGCTTCTTGAATTATTCAAGTGTCTTAGACCTGTCCACCTCACCAGACTCTTTGGACTGTATTTAATGTACCCAGCAGAGTGATGCAAACTGACTAATCTGCAAACTTCAGTCCAACCCCCTACTACACAAGGGAACAATGTCACTTCCACAGCAGGTACAAACTTGTTCTTTTGTTCTGGTGTGAAGATTTCTGTCATTTGAATTATTAAGGCTGGAATCCTCTTTCTATCAGTTGCCAGAGAAAAATGTATACAATCAAAGGGCACCACCTACCATTTCATTGTGGTAAGGATTTGGTAGTTTTCCTCACTGTCCCATTAGATATGCTAAGGCTTCCAGACCTTGTTACTTCCAAGGCTGAGACAAAGTAAGGACTTTAGAGCCCAAACATTAAAGACTATGATCTCAAATGTTACTTGGCTGCCCAATCTCATTAGGTTCTTGCAGTCCTGCACTGTGTGTGGGCTGAGACCAGCTAAAGGCACAGCGAGAGCGTTCAGAGTTTAACACAGCACCACATTTAAAGGCAGAGCAAAGGAAAAACCTTTTAAAAACTATGGTGGCTGAATCTATTCTCCTTCACTCAGCTATTGTCAGAGGTAGGGAGCAGAGGTTCAGATTCCTCCTTCACTGCAGTAAATCCAGCTCTACTTACTACTTTTTAAAACTGAACTGGCGTCCCCGCTCCCGAACTGCTACTACTGTAATCCAGACTTTGTCTAAGCACAGTTAGATCCTTTTCACTTGCTCTCTTTCTAGACTCTTGGAACTCTTTTTTCCCCCCCCTGCATAAATGGCTCTGTTTCAAAGCAGTGGTTGAAACACCCTACCAGGAGGTAAAAGATGGATCTTTTCCTGCCAAGAGCTGCCCTGAAGGCTCTAAGGGAAAACATCTACTACTGATTTGCAGAGCAGTTTAACCACCGAATCAACATGCAGGAGAGAGCCCTTTCCTCACGTACCCCTTGTTCTGTTTTATAGCAGGAACACAGACTATGGAACAGTGAGAGTCAAGCCACACAACCGGATTATCCCAAAATACAGATTTGTCAAACTGTATCAGGAAGGCTGCAGCCAATACAGTTATCACTAAAAAATACAGGTATTTAAAGTCCCATTCTGAGAGGAACGCTCTTAAAATCCAACCATGGTGACTCTGTGATTCTGTAAATGGGATAAAAAATATTGACAGAAGGCCCATGTATCAGCAGGATTGTACAGCACTGTGCAGAGTGCAAACTTACTGCAGTGAAGGTCACAGAGCTCCCTTGTGAAGGGTTCAAAATACCAGATGTTCTGTCATCTCCATTTCTGCAAGTAACTGTGTTGAGAAGAGGTACTAAGCAAAATAAGCGAACCAGAAGATTAAACCACAGCATCAATCTTCCCTACAAAGTACCTGTTTTGAAAAGGGAGCAGAGTATGGCTGGAACTGTATCTGTTCACATACAAGGGCTTTGGGTAAGGCTGTAGTTGAGGCATGTAGCCCATGAATAGCAAGCATTCACACAGTATTAAGTGTTATTCAATGATGAAGGCAGTTATTAGCTTTTTTAAAGATTGCTACATGAAAGAAGGAAAAAAAACATAATGGAATAGCCTATTGCCAGAAGTGCATTGTTTTCAAAAGGTTGAACATGCCTTCTCCAGCACCAGACTGAACTTACACAGGATTTCTACCTCAGAAATTATATGAGGTCAGGCCAATTCAGTTTTTTTAGAATTTAGGGTTTTTTTTGAGAGAGAAATACCATGAAATAAGATTGATATTAGTAACTTTTACTAAAAACCCCCCGTTGCCAGACCTGGATTCATCTAGGAACTGTGTGAAGTCACATTTCCATTAGGGTTCCATCAATCATGACACCTGGATTTCTTTAAAGTTTCGTTTTTCCTTATGAACAAATTCTGAAAAAGGTAGGAGTCAGAGATGCTTTTTGAAATCTTTTATTGCAAAAGGTATGGACACTTGCTGGCAGAATATTTGATCACATTCTCTAACTGACTGTCATCCAGAGGACACTGCATGCATTCAAGCTGAAAGCATAGGACAGTTTCCACTAGGCACCTGAGAAATTTCACGGGAAAGAAAAGTCTTTCAAGTTGAAAGAGACAAGTTTCAAACTGATCACCTACTCTGGTGCCCTCTGCTTCCCAGAGTTACCCAGGAAATCAGAATTAAGTCAGCTATAGTCATAGCCAACTGTAAACATTTTCCTGCAATGCAACAGAAATTCTCCAGATAACTGATCCTGAAGTGTTCTTTCCAGTTTCAAACAGGAAATGTCTCTCCTAAAGCGGGCAGTGCAGTGAGTTACACCTGACCTGGCATCTACCACTCAATGCCGTGTTATGCAGCAGAGGTGTATGATGCTTCCTTTTCTCTGGCATGTATCAAAGAAAATCTGTCAGCTCTTACTTGGTCTCCAAGACACGACCCCACCCCCCAAAATATCTTTCTTTTCTTCCTGCTCCCAAGTCTAGTATCATCTTAAACCACTTCCCTGCCCCCCCTAGACAAGAGCCAGCTCCCTTTTTCTTCCTACCCCCTTGCCTGAAGGCATTGCTAACAAAAATACATGCTGCCTTCTGTATTGCTGTTAATAGCAAAAACATCTTCACATTTTGGCAGTCCCTCCACGCGCAGAACTCAGAATTTCAGAACTCTGAATTTCACCCCATTTCAGTGCCTTCCCACAGGTCTGATAAAGGTAAATCATCTTTGGCAGTCAGCAATCCGTGCATCTGAATTTCACCCCATTTCAGTGCCTTCCCACAGGTCTGATAAAGGTAAATCATCTTTGGCAGTCAGCAATCCCGCACCAACTGGAACCAGGAATCCATTGCCAATCTAGCAGGACGCCTATTTTGCAACTGTAGCTGCTTTATATGAGGAACTCACTGCAAGAAAAAAAAGAGAGTTTAGAGGATGGTACACTTCACAAATAAATGCATTTGAATAGAAAATAGATTAGAACATATTAACTAACAGCTACACTTAGCTGCAGGTTATAATGGACTTTTAAACTACTTGAACCGGACAAATGCAAACATCCATCAAGGCATTAAGGCTGCAAGTCACAGATAACTAAATAACTCGGGATGATACTACAGGCATTTTAACTTCTACTATTAAATTACAAGCCATGCTAATTGATCTAATAATTCCAAGCATAAAAATAGCTATTGTAGGTTACTTATACCTTCTTAATAAATCAGCCGTAGATTATAAGGAAAACTTTTGCTTTCAGAAAGCCCTAGCAGATAGAACAATGCACAATTAACTTCCTTTCACGCAGTATGGTTTTAAGTTCCCCAGCAAAGCTGCAGATTGAAATTTTCCATCAAGGTAGTGATTCCTCCGTAATGTGCACACAGTCCTCAATATTCAAATTAACCTTAAGACACAAGGCCTTAGCAGAGATGGGTGCATAGTCATTTGTGTTAAGACAGAGTAGCAATTATAGCCCCCTGAGGTCCCTTGAGTTATTTTAATCACAAGAGCCAGAATGAACTTGTTTGCAACAAAGGCACCCTCAGTCCTTTCAGCTGGAAAGATATAGGTTGCTCTATTTAAACCAGTCAATTTGGAATGAACAGTTATTCACTCCCAGAGACATTGCCCTTACTCCAGCAGTGAGCATTTCAGTCACTAACAATTCAACACTCCAGTGTATGTTCTAAAGAAGAGCTATCTAAAACTTTGAATGCTAAAGCGTAGTAACTTGTCACCACTCTACTTTAAGCTGTATTTCAGTAAAGGATATATATTTTTAATCCAATTGATGCTGTTCTGAAAGCTATCCAGCCAATTCCATGTCAATCACTGCTGGATGTGCTTTTACAGGAATAAAAGGCCTTTTGGCCTGATCCAAAACCAGCACTGGCAGAGTCCACAGTGTTCCTTGATAGCTGTTTTACATCATACTTATGTCTTCAGTCCTAATATATTTTTAGCAGATACTTAAGTGGAAGCAACTCAGATGACTGTCTGACATTGACAACATGCTGATGATCAAAGTGTCCTCCCTGTTAAGCCAGGAAGAATACAGTGTCTTCTCTGTCTTGCATTATACAAGCCACAGAGATGAGGTACATGAAAAACATTAAGTACAGAGATACAAGACCTTTAGGACGCATCCTGAGATGGAGCAGGAGGATCCTTATTCTCAGGCTCTGGAGGCGGAGCTGGCACACTTTCCTCTTTCTTTTGTGCAGCCAAAAATTCATGAATCGCCCTCTCTATCTGGGGCCTGAAGATGTGGTTTAGTTTTGGATCCACCACCTGAGAAATAATTCTGTCCACTCCAGCTTCCAGCATTCCTGACCTTGAACAAAGACAAAGGAGTCATTCAGCTCCTCTGAAAAACTTCTCCCCAATCTCCTCCAGTAATTCTCCAGAGCCCTCCTGTCAACTGCAATTAGCATTAACACGGTGAGAACTGCAGCCCACTCAGTAGATCCTTAACAGGGAGTTGTTTCAATCACCTATTTCCCCCCACCCCCTCTCACTTCTCCCTACAGAATTAACAACTGACATCTGGTCTCCCAGGTACTTAAATGACATGTTGGACAAGAGCCACTTTAATAGGGCTCATGTGGAAATGAGGTCAACATGAAAGCAAACAAACACATTTTGGCACAAACAAGGGAAACAAGCTATTCTGAGAAGGAGGGCAGGTGAGAGCAGAGTCTTTTTTTTGGCTGACTTGAGGGAGAAGAGGCCTTCCCCTTAATACTGTCACTCACTCCTTATAACCGTTAGTCTAGACAGATGGGTATTAATTATAAAAACAAGCACATGTAGAACACAGCAAAGTTTCTGGAACTGAACACTAGTAACTGAAGTGACTTATTAATTCAGGGGCTGCGTCAGACTCTTGGATTGTGGGGCACAGGCTGTCTAGCAGGCTTAAGTCATGTCTGCAAGGGAGCAGGGGACAGGAAATGGAGACGTTGCTTGGCGCTCGGAAAAGCAGCCACGAGACTAACGAGGCCATGAATGCTGGTGAGCAAGTGGGTGCAGGGTCATGGCACCTCCGGGTAACAGCAGATGTATACCTGCATGTGACAAAGGACACACACATCTTGACACCCTCAGTGCCCAGTCTTGCAGCTAAAGGAGTGACAGGGACTTCAAACTCTCTAATACTGCCTGTCTATTCTTTACACTAATAGCCTACTTAAGAGAGCACTTTATATTCTTCTCATTACAGGCTCTCTAATAGAGCAATTTTCAATTCTCTGCTTCATTCTAGTGGTAATGTGAAGTAAGAGGAAGCGCTGACAAACGTATCTGAAGGACTCTAAATAAAGATAGGAAATTCTGTACTTCCAGTGCACACCCCCTTCTCTAATTACAGACTAAACAAACTAATGTTACATACTAATGATTTCCAGGTTCTATCAAGTGCTCTGAAATACAGTTTCTTCTATATGTGAGACATTCTAATAGCTTCTCCTATAAGCATAAATGCCATTATCAAGTTCCCTACTCTCCCTCTCCCCACAACTTTTACTACAAAGTTTTTATCTGTGACTTTTAGTCAAACAAGCTAAGACCTGTGCTTCAGACTGCAGTGCGTTAGCAGCAAGAGATACTGAAGCTAAAACTTCAAGTAGCACAGTCTGAGCTGGCTTTCCTGTCATGCTGTAAATACTATCTTAAATAGCTGTAAGAAAGCTACCCTCTGCTGCATGGAATGAGGCTAGCCCAGTTTGATTACTGCCTGCTAGTGGTCGGAGTCTACTTAACCAAGCTTTGGCATCTTCAGGATTTTTTTAAGTGATGTAGGCTTTTCTCTTTTCTGAAAATAAAGATCAAGGCTGTTCAGCTCAGCGTAACGGGTACAGTTTTGCTAGCAGGCACAGTGTTGGTAACTTGCAGCAATAACTTGGGCTAGATAAAGAACACAATGCTTCACCGTGCTGCTCAACTCATGAAAACACAAATTTAAGGTAAAGCAGCAATGTAAGCATTTTAATGACAGTTAAGACTATATCCACTACTATAATGAAACTCAGGAGAGGACACCAAAGTGTTGTGAAAAATTTAGTTATGCAAATTCTTCTTTGACTTAGGTGATAAGATAGTCATGTATTACTTATCAAACTGCATTGCAATTAGTTTACAGAATGTTGCTTACGTACTGAATCACACTCTGCCTTAGCCCATTGCGTAACTGGTTTTTGTTCATTGCTGGATTCCATTCCTGTTTGTCCAGGTGGGTCGATACAAAATTGTCTACTTTCTGCCTCAAATTTTGATAGGCTGGCTGAAAAAGAGAAATAAATTAAAAAAACCCAGTTAAACGATCTCAAAACAATCCCCCGCCAGAGTCTTTCACAGTGCATCTTTTGTCATGCACACTACTGTTTTGTTGACTATATTCTCTCTCCTTTCACTTTCTTAACAAAGGTAAGACTGTTTTAACTAAGAACACAACTGGTAATTGCAAAGAATGGCTGGTCAGTGTGCTGTTATAATAATCTAAATAGCTGGACAGATTGGTTTTTAAACTGTTGTCTGCTTGTGATATTAGTTGGTGAAATGTAAACTGCCTGTGTAGACAGGAGTTGTTTAAGCAGAGTTCTTGTTGTTTGGAAACCCTCCATCACAGAATTCCTAGGAAACTGGCCGAGTAATACTGTTGCTAACAAAGAACTTAATTGTTTCTGTGCCGCTAACACAGAAGATAAGAATTATAAGGGTTTTATTAGTGGAAACTTAATTCCAGTGAACAGGCATTGAGCTGACCACTCAGATCCTGGTCACATACAAGGAAAGGACAAGAAGGTTGCAACATTTAAATTTCAGAATTTGATATGTATATGGGATGATGACTGAAAGGGTTGGTAAGGCAGGTGCAGTGTCTGCCCTGGGCAGTGTGTATCTATCCTGACAAAGCCTCTCTGACCTGTGGCTGCTCTGTGCAGGTGACCTGACAGCTGCTGGGGTGGCCTAGAATGACAACTGCAGGTCGCAAAACAGGACTCTTCCTGGAAGATCAACAGTTTGAGAAAGCAAAACACCAGTGTTCAATTTTGACAGGGCGACTGTGAACAACCCAAATTCAGTACTGCCAACAATAGCTCAGGAGTTCATGTTGAGACTGAGGAAGAAATCAGACTGAGAACATCAACTCAAGAAGGAAAGCTTAATAATTTGTTTTGGAAATGTGGGAATGATGCTCAGGAGGAGCAGTGTTCTTAGGGGAGACCGTCTTCCTAATAAGGCCTAATTTCCTAATAAGAACATGAAAGTCTGAGCCTGTTCTCTGGCCTGTTTCTCCTCCGGGGTGTCGCTATGGCTTCGAGCCAGGGCCACCTCTAGAGCAGCCTGTCTGACAGATGCTGGTCGCAGCGGGGGCATGAAACCCTACTGACCGAGAGAGCAGCGCCGCAGCTGCTGCCCGCCATGCCGGCCCCGAGTGCGGGACACGGCGGGGAGAGGGGCGGGGATGGGATGCGGGTGCCCCTTCGGCCAATGACGGCCGGGTTCCAGGATGAGTGCCCGCAGCTGCGGCCTGGGGAGGAGGCACCGGCGACCCCCGGTTCGACGGCGCTACCTTGGTGTCCACGTCGGCCAGGCAGTCCCGGCGAAAGCCGTCGAACAGGCCGCGGCTCTTCAGCTGCTCTACGATGATGGCGATGAGCTGCGCGTCGCCGGGCGGCAGCGAGGCCGGGTCGATAGCGCCGGGTCCCGAGCCGGAGGCCGCGCCGCCCGCGCCCCCTCCGCCGCCCGCT